GAATCTCTGCATCTGGTTCCATCAATTACTGGAAAAGTCTCTATGATGACAGTTGAGGTATTCAGGTATCTGTTTTCAGTGGAAGGCCAGTTCAGGAATCCTCTCCACTATTGCCAGGAGTCTTAGGTGGAATCATCTTTGTGGATTCCTGGGAATTTCCCTGGTACCAGGTAGAACCATAGAACTATATAGCATGGTATTTCTGCCTTCTGGCCAATTTGGGCTCCTCATTTTATCTCCTAACCATGATTAGACAAAGAATAGAAATGTTAAGATTTGCTAACTGGGCATATCTTGTCCTAGGGATAAAAAAACAAAACAAATACAAACAAGAAAACAAACAAAACAACAACAAAAGAAGCACACATAATTGAGAGAAACAATGGGCCCATAAATCACAATCCCAGAGAACCTAGGCAACAATGAGGACCCTAAGAAAGACATACATAGATATAATCTACATGGAAAGTAGAAAAAGACAAGATACCCTGAATAAATTGGGAGCATGGGGACCTTGTGAGATGGTTGAATTTGAAGGGAGAGGTAGTGGGGGAGCAGAGAAAAATGTAGAGCTCAATAAAAGTAAGAAAATTATACAGCTTAAGGAAGTCTCATCCTTTTTTCAATCCACAGATATTAATGCCCAGTGACATGTTTTTATTCATGAGATAAACACACTACAGTACAGGTAGTGGGGACTAGAGCTTATTAATAGCAGGACAGAGGAAAGGGAAAGAGGATGGGCTCATGACAGTCCTCCAAGTCAGCCGGGACACAGAAGGCCTGTCCTGAGTCCTCTGGTATCTACATTAGCTGGGGTGAAGCTGGGATTCCCCATTATCTGTTCTTTCATGGCTCTCAAGTTCTTCTAAACAGGAGATATCTTTCACTTTTTATAGCATTAAAATTAATCAGGAGCTTGTGCTGTTGGTGAAAGGTAGAAAAGTCCTGGGGCTGCAATGTTCACCTGGAACCCCAGTGTCTGGGGAGGGTGTAGCAGGGCAGTTACATAAGATTTGCCCAGGTTGTATAAGGGTAGCATGTCCCAAAGCAATAGAAAAGCTATCACTTCTTGAAAGTGCTCTATCACCGTTCTCACATCTCTTTCTCTCTCTTTTGCCTCTTCATCCAATTTCCTGTTTCTTACCTAAAATTTGAGGTCTGACTTGCATTTGAATGTGTCCCCCAGTCCCCACCCTCACCCCAAAACTGCCCAATAAGCTAGAGATTCTGAGTATTTTTTTTTCTTTCCTTTAGACCTGATCTTATTGTGTCCCCAGGCAGGCTCTGGTCTTTGGACCTTTCTCCATCATCTTTCTTTGCAGCTGGCATTAGTAGTCCAGACTGAATTTCATTTAGGACAGCTCAGAGGTTAAGAACACTGCCTGCTCTTCCAAACGCCCTGAGTTCAATTCCCAGGTACCACATGGTGGCTCATAACCATCTGTAATGAGATATGGTCCCTTCTTGAGAAGGAGAAATGGTCAATCGTCCTCATCAACTTAGACATGAAACCCAATATGGACAAATTCAATAGGATCACCATATATGGGCTCCCCATGCGTGCTTCAGCATTGCCGGGTACAAATTTTATTTAAGTTTACTTCATTTATGGCAGATATGGACCAAGGGAAAGGCAAGAAGATATGATTAATCACTTTCAAGTAACATTAGCAACTCTCTACAGACCTATGGCTGTTTCATAGTACCAGTAAATTTATAAGAGGCTACAGAAAGATTGGGACTTCTAATTACAGAGACAAAAGCAAAGGGATTGAACTCATAGAATCATGGGTAAATAAATTGTTATAAAGAAACCTTAAACTCTTTTCAAACATCATTCTGACTTTTCTTCTTTAATGAGGTTGGCATGGAGGATATGACAGACAATAGTGTTAGTCTTTCAACAAGAAATTTTTGTTGCAGCCCAAAATTAACATTAGGAGAGAATTGAAGGAACTCCATCTATAGAAAAGCCTTGAACTCTCTGTATCTTGACACCCGTCTTTTCCGCCAGGTCTCCACCTGAACCCTCATTCCTAGTTCTACCAGCAGGAAGCCAGCAGTCCATCTTTCCCAGCACCTTCTCAGTTGGAAATCAAACTCACCAGAGAAAAGACAGAATTTTCTTCTAAATTTCTACAACTCTGCCCTTTAAAACTGCTCTCACTCCTTCAGAAAAAAGTGAGGGAGCCTGAATGTGTGGAGAGCAGCAAGAGGAGCCAGAGGAAATGTCCCAAGGACCCGGTTGGTCACTAAGCCTGATAAAAGTTAACACTTAAAGGACCAACCAACCAATGGGGAGCCACCACATCGGTATCTGAGGTTTGACCACCAGAGGGAGCCAGTCTCCCTGGGTCTGCTCTGCTTTCCAGGAACTTGGGACATCTCTCAGAGCTACAGAGCTACAATCATCCTAAAAGATGCTGACCTTTGCGAAAGCTGCCCTTGATGGAAAGAAATCCCTCCCCATGGGCTTCGCTTACACCGGAACTCCTGGCTGGGTTTTGCTTTGTGTGACAGGTGTGGTCCTAAGGGGAAAAAAGGCAAGGTGAGGACAGGGAACTGCAGTGTCCTCTAGAGCTAGACTTGAGCACTTACAGGATGAGAACAGGGAGGAAGTTGCAGTTCAGGGCAGCTGCTCACAATCAAGATTCCCACCCAGCATGGGAGGAGCCCCATGCAGAGCCCTGCAGAGACACTTCCCACACTCACAGCAGTGAAACTAGCAAGCTGCAGGGGCTCTCCAGCTGCCCAGGGGTGTCCTGCAGATTAGGTGTTCTGTTGCTGCCCAGAGCAGGGCCTCTGCCCAGTGCTGATCTGATGCATTCATTACATCCCTTCTAGGAATCTCTTTGCAGAATGTCTCCCACAGGTCCCCCTTTGAGTTAGGGTTTTTATTACAGTCAGTTGCTATTGCCTCAGTGTCCCCTGAATTAGAAGCTGAACATGTGTAGAGCTGGGGATGAGGTTGAGTTGGCACAGTGGATGCCTAGCAGGGTGGAGTTCTGGGGTGGATCCTGAGCACTGTGCACACCCAGGTGTACTGACACGTGCATGTGTCTGTCTTAGTCACTCTTCTGTTTCTGTGACAAACGCCACGACTGAGGCACCTTATAGGGACAGTGCTTGACTTGGGACTTGCATTTTCAAAGGGTTAGAGGTCATGTCCACCACAGCAGGGAGCATGGCAGCAGGCAGGGAGGCATGGTGCTGGGGCAGGAGGTGAGAGGTCACACTTGAGACACAAACCTGACCAGAGACAGAGAGACACTGGGAATGCCCAGAACGTATTGAAATCTCAGAGTTCACACCCATTCCACATATACTCCAATAATTCCACATGTCCTAATCTGTTCCAATCAGTACCACTAGCTGGGTACCAAGTATTCAGAGATAGGAGCCTATGGAGGCCATTCTTACTAAATCACCAGAGGACACACTGCTTTGGAGCTGGCAGCAGGAGGATCAGGAGGTCAAAGGGCATCCTCAGCAATAGGTGACTTTGATGCCAAGACAGCCTGAGATACATGAGAATTATCTAAAAACAGAAGCGCTGCATAAGGGAAACAATGAGCCATCCCCATTTTCAGTCCCAACCCCACTCCTGCACGCCTATCTCATGTGTTCCTTATATTCTCAGATCTACTAAAATATGATATACGGAGTGACAGCGGATATGACACCGCAGTCTGAGTTTTGTTTAACGGTGTACTGATTCTTCTGAATTGTTAACAATTATGGGAAATTCTTTACAACTTTCTGGTTTTGTTTTGGAGGTTGGACATCCCAGACTGGGCTGGAGCTCGCTCGTGTTCAGCGTGGTCTCCAGTTGCTGGCAGTACTCCTCCCTCAGTCTAGCAAGTGCAGGTGTTCGAGGGGTGAGCAACCATATTTGTCTTTTACAGATTTGAACCAGTGCCTCCACTGTTTCTTCCTAAGGCCTTCTTGGGAATCAAAATAATAAAATGCTCAGACAGCCATCTACCTCTCCGTGAACTTACTCTGCAGCCACAAGTTCATTCCAACTCTGTGCAAAGATTTGACTTTGTGGTCAGGTCTGCCACCAGCCTCGAACCTTAGTGACAAGAATGAAGGCAGCCAGATGAGCACAGCACTGACCACGCTGCTGAGCAGTGCGGCAATGTGTGTGAGTCTAACTGTGTCAATACACGCTGACATTTATTTCAACACAGGAAAGGCTTTCCCATGAAACAATTATGGAAAAAATAATGCGCGAAAAGGACATTGGAGAGCTTTGAAAGTAGAATATATTTTAACCTGAATGAATTCATAGTTTAATAAAGGTTTCATAAAGGTTTCTTAATCTGTAGAACCCAGCATGGCGATGTTTTTGAGTGGCCGATGCATTCTCTGCCAGCATGTAGTGCTAGAATCTCCAATCTACATGCCGCTCTGTAACTGCCTCTCTGCTGTCAAACATAGAGACAAGATGGAGCTAAACTCAAAATGAGTCCCCAGGAGCTGCCTTGCTGGTGCCACACTAACCTAAGTGAGTTTTCATGATAGAGGATCCAGTCTCCCGTCACATGTCTGTTCTGCCTCCTGCCTGGAAATCAGAGAGTCTGGCTATATGCTTCTGTTGTGAACCAAACGCCACCTTCACCCTAAAAAGTATTAGAGAAAATGTCTCTGCCACAGGGACCCTGATACTCTCCAGATATCCCTCCATTCAGTCTTTCCTGGTGCCAGGTCCTGAACTCTCCTGGAAACAGCATGGTGTGCCTTTTCTGTGTCTCTGCCTACTTAAGGCAATCTGAATCCAAATAGACTCCTTATTGTGCAGTAATCCCTCAGTGTCCCCTTGAACCAACTACCTCACCCAAAATCTGGCACTGTCCTCTTTAAAAGCAAAACAAAGAGAGCAGGGTCTTCCTCTGTAACTGAGCCTGGCTCAGATGTACAGCCACCGGTCTCTGCCTCCTGAGTGCTGGGGCTGCATCCAAACCATCATGGAGGCTCTGGTACTCAATCTCAGCAATTCTTTATTACAGTCACAGCAAAGAGACAGACATCATATTGGATACAATTTACATGAGGTAAGTTCCTAGAAACATTCTATTGTCTATGTTTCACAACACAGCACAAGGTAAAGTTCATTGGCATCACTGTTACCACCTTCACTGTAAACTGGAAACCATAGGATTTACAAACTTGATAGGATCTAAATAGTACAATAACACTAAGGATCTGAAAAAGTGTTGGTATCTTCTCCCCCAGGCCCAAGACTTCAGGGAGCACCGGTGGTCTAGGATCCAGGGAAGAACAGAGACAAGGGTATTAGAAGCCTAGGAAGTCTGCATTGGGGCAGTTGTTTGTTGGGGCAGCAGGCTGGTTTGTATATAGCATGAAGACAACGGGCTACGCAAAAAGCATTACTTTGCATACACAGGTTGGAATGAGGGCAAGAAGGGCTTATCAGTTCAAATACCAAAGAGTGCCTGCCTAGGGGGAAGTGCAGGGAGGGAACAGGAATGTTGCAGTAGCAGAGGTGGCAGGTCCTTTAGTTTATCAGTTGACAGACTGCTAGCAAAATAACACGTGTTGTTGCTAGCTTTCGGGCAGGGAAAAAAAAGAATTGCTGGCTTTTTAAAATGATGTGACCTTTTGTCCCTATGAAGTGGATCCAGGTTTTCCAGCCCAAGTCAGGTTGAAGGTCCTATTCATATGATAAATCTCTCAGAGATTTTGAGCTACAGTCACACTGAACTCACATGTTTGCTTCTGAAGTTTCTCAAAAGCCAAATACTAATATATACCTACAACATACTGGAGTAGACTTGATGACACTTTCCAGGACCTAATTAGCAAAGTCAAATATTAGGAAAGTCAAATATTAGCCCCCCTCAGCCCTATCCAGTTGCCCATTGCAGCATCTAAACCCAGTACAGCATCTTTGCCCCCAAACTAACCTACAACCATTTAGTGACTGCAAAGTAGATATTTTGTTCTCAGTGAATTTATTTCCATTTTAATACTTACATAATACATTTTGCATTTGTGTATACTACCACATGTGTGGGAGGCAGGGGTTAATCTGTAGGAGTTGGCTGCCCCTTTACAGGTGGGTTTGAGTGACTAAGCCCTGTCTGCAGGCTTGCTTTTATCCCCGGGGACTTAGAACAGACCCCACATTTATTTTTTTACACCAACCTAGAGTATAGGAACACGATTCATATAAAAAATGCAAAAATAAAATGACATAGGTATAGGCCTTTGAGGATGTCATTCAGGGCTACACTGCTATGGGGAGTGGCAGAAATGGAGCAGAGGAAGGTACTCAGAACACACAAAGTCTTAGTGGGCGCTGTTGGAGATATTTCCTTCTTAGGTTTTGGTGAAGCACAGCATTGAGGTTAAACTGATGTACCACTAAGGGCTCATTCCTAGGCTAGACACTCCGACATATATTTTCAAAAGTAATAGACAAGCTGGAGAAGAACTTTCTGTCATCTTCTGTCAGCGACAGAGGAATGGGGTTGTGGAGACTTGGCAGAGCTGAGACAAGTGGCTCAGGGGCAGAGCACCTCCTCAGCATGCACAAGGCCCTGGCTGCCATCTGTGGCACCACAAAACAGTAAGTGAGGGTTAGCAGAGGTCTTACCTTACCTTGTGAGTAAGAGACATTGTGTGTGGGAATCTGGGAAGAGATAAATTACTATAACCTCGTAAACAGACAAGCAGCTGGATCAAAGAAAAGATCCAATACTGGTTTGTATTTAGAAGTGAAAGTCACTGACATGGGAAGACAAAAGTAGAAAAAGTTAAGATGATCCCACAGTATTTAGACATATGGGATACATCAGACACAGGGGCGCTGTGCAGACATGGGTGAGGGCTTAGGAAGGTGGCCCACAGACTGTCAATGGCTTTGAACACATCATAGGATTAAAATATGGATAAACTGCATTAGGGAAGTTCGGTTCATAGAATCTATAGATGAGAGCTCCATGGTTGGAAGCATCATAAAATGAGAGAGTGCAAGCTTCTCGGTCCAGGAAAACTCCAACACGAGTGGGAGGATGAGTCAGAGAGAGGAGCAAGACACTGGCATTGTGGGTGACAGAACACTCTTCAAAGGCATTATATACAGACCTGTCTGTCATCCCTATAACCCAGTAGCCACATTTGGGCTGATAATTTACATGTTGGTTAACATCAGAATCATCTTTAACTTCATGTCTAGGTTGATAATTCACACATTGTCTGGCCCCAAAATCATGTGTGTATGTAAGGTCAGTCACATCTTCCTGCGGATAATTTACTTGTGTAACACCAGAATTATGTTCATAGTTCAATACAGAAAGAAATGGATATGGTGTATAACCTAAGTCATATTTGTATTCATAACCAAAGGTATATTCAGGCTGACAATTTACATCTTGGTTAACATCAGAATTATATTTGACTCTGAAGCCCTTTTCATTCACTGTACTAAGCTGGGGTTGAGCACATCTTCCGTCATTTATTCCCAGGAGCCAGGCATCACATCTAGACACATCTACTTCCCAGTAATGTTTCCCTGAGCGCAGAGCTGGAAACCCCAGGACACCTAAATCATAGGACTCAAAAACTTGCCAAGTTCTTCTATAATCACTTCTATGTTGTATTTGTCTCTTGTCCATGTTAATGACAATGTTTTTATTGTTGGGTTGACGCAGGGTCACGTGAACTGCCGAAAAATGAGACATAAATTAAGAGTCACATGAGAAACAAGGTACTGCCTTATTTGTGATTTAAGTAGCAGAGGCCTAAGAAGAAAGTGAGAGGGAATTTGGTAGAGCCATTTTTAAAGTCAAAGAGAGGCAGATTGTTGTGCATATGGAGAGCAGTAACATAAAATGTAATTATCAGTAGAGAAATAAACTCTGAAAGACATTAAGACGAGAGAGGCTGATGGTGTGATTTCTCCTTACCCCAGTGGCGCTGGGCATCCAGGAGCCCTGAAATGATGAAAATGCACAGCATTAAATGCAAGCCAGGGAATCAGAACATTAAAGTCAATGTGCTCTGCAGAGTGGGGAAAGGTCTGGACTGTGACATAGGACGGGATGAATGATGATGTCCATTATATATGATGACATCACTGGGACACACTTTCTGTTCTTCTGAGTTCCTCTACCCATGATAAGAAACATCACTTTCTGTCCAGAGAGTGCAGCCGCAGCCACCCCTAGAGTCCCCCAGGTAACCACAGAATGTAGCTGCTCTCACCTTGAAACACTTGCAGCATGCCCTTCAGATCCGGAGCTCGGAAGATCTTTCTCTGTTTACTCGGGACCATTTTGGGCTGTTTCAGTCTTAAGTTCTGACTCCTAGGGACAAAAGATTGACATCCACATCTCAGACAGTGTGACCTCTGACCACCATGGACTCCCTTATCACTCCCTATCATTCTGACCATAGAAGTCCTAGAGCTCTCCTGAGAATTCTGAGCAGGGAGAGAGTAGACACTAACTCTGCTGAGATTAGACACACTCATGACCCCTCCCACTTAGTAGCTTGTGAAGTTGGGAAAGCCTTAGCTCCTCACTTGTACAATTAAATAATTTGCTCCTGCACTACCCCCTAACCAAAAACTCTTAAAAAAAAACAAACGATGAATTAGTTACTTTAAAACAAACTAAACTAAGGTACCTAAAAAAAGGTAAATTGTGGCCAGACATGGTGCCACATGTCTTTAATCCTTGCACATAGGAGGCAGATTCAGGAGGATCTCTGAGTTTGAGGCTAGCCTGGTCTACATAGTGAGTTCCAGGACAGTCAGTGTTACAGAGAGTAATCCTGTCTCAAAATAAAAAATAAAAAATAAGGAGATGTTGGTTTTCAAGTCTAGAGTGCAGAAGTTGCTCTTGGGTACAGAATGTGGGAAAGCCAAGAATTCAAACCCTATTTTCAATATGGACCCTATTGGCCAGCATCTGATTCTTCTGATTATTCAAGTTTTTTTGGTACAATTACAAAACTTGGCAAAGGCGATAGGACCACCAAGTTAATAAGAAGATGAGTCCCACATGTTCAGAATGACCTGAAGTTGACAGTCTCATGTTATTTTATATACAAGGGTACAGATTTTCAAGTTCTTCTAAAGAATGTGGGTCACATAGAGCAGGTGTTTTATCTTGGCCAAATATTGTGCCCAGTGACTCAAGTCTGTTTCTGAAAAATCTAAGTTCAACCACAAAGGAACTCAGGATCTCTTCTATTTCCATAAGAAATACACAGATGCACAGGAATTTTTCCCAGCATACAGTTCTGTGAACACTGCAGACAAGGAAGACATACCCTATCTAGGATGAATCTGTGAATCAAGTACCTGTGAGCTGCAGACAGAGCCAGACACAAGCACAGAGCGCGGACAGAATGGTGGAACCACAAGGAGTCTGAAAGCTCCTGTGGCTCCATTTGCCTCTTTCCGCTGCTGAGTCCGACTCTGTGACTCCCCTTACCCAAACTCCTCAAAGAGAATTAAACCTGTCCCCAATAATTACAAGACAGTCAGAGCTGCCTTTCCCCACCTTTTCCTCCTTCTTATTGGAACTTCAGAAAAACACTGTCTAAATTTTCACAAACCCATGAGAGATTTATTCTAGTCAGATACTAAATCATTCTCATCACACAACAGGGCTATTCTTCCATGTCAGCCCACACATACCTTGTTAGGACATGATTCACACCCTAGAGAGAAAGGAGAAAACACAGTCAATAACATGTTCTGCATGTTCTTTCAAATCCTGGTCTCACTCTCACTGGGTGCAGAGACAAAGTCAAAGAGAATCAAATCCTTCACCCACCGTTCTCCATGACATGATGTAATTATGATGCATGATTCATTATTTGACATACATGTAAACTAAGAGACTATTTTCTGTCCCATACTACAAGGTTTTGGAGAACAAGATGAATAAGGAGTCGTTTGGAAGTTTACATAGGATTTGCCGTGCATAGAAGCAAACACATAAACACGTGACTTTATCCATGTTCCATGTCAGCTCTTCATCACCTTGTTTATAACTAACAATATGAGAAGCTGATTCCTAAATTATTTGAGTCACCTAGTCATAATTCAGTATGTTAGTAATGGAGAAGTCACAAGAACCAGATGCTTAGATTGTCTGAGAAGTAAAACCAACTAACCACATTTCTCCTTCTCTGTTTCTTCCCTTTGTGAAACAGTCCTGGAATTAAAAGACAGTAATCTAAATCTGTGTGTCTCTCAATCTGACAATCTGTTGTAACAACGACAACAAAGAAATGGGAATTTTCCCAGGAATGTCACACTGGGAGAAGGAAAGGAGCTCCAGCCTAAGGGACAGCTGTCCTCCTAACAAGACTTCCAGCAGTTCAAATTACTTGTCAGGCCACCCTAAAGTATGAGACTGTAACCTAAATAATGATGGGAGAATGATGGACAGGAGCACACCTTGACATGGGCCATTCATATGCCCATCCTTGGCTCTTTATTTAAACTTTGATCTCCCTTAGGGAAACTGAAGATGGACAGAGGCTTTTTTTTTTATCTTGTTGTTTATCTTTCAAAAGGAGCCACATTAATAAATATTCTTTTCCTGCTTTCCAATATTAATTTGGCTCTTTTGTATGTGTTTATTGAGGTCAGATATCAAGACCTTGTGAGGACCTGACTTCACAAACTCCATTTTAAAGAAAGGGCTTCATCTTAAGTCCTATAATGAGCTGGGGATGGGAGATCTCAGCTCCAGAAATGTGCTGCCATAGCAGAAATTTGAACAAATGCCATAAAAATGGCCAATTTAGAAGATAGCGAGCAGAGCCATGAGATTTAACAAGGTCCAGATGTTCTTGGGAGGCATCCTGTCCTTGAAGATACCTTGTCAGCTATTAATGGCTCTTTGTTAGATTTTCTCAACCAAAAACTGACCAGTGGTTTCAGAATCAATGTTACCCTATTCCCTCCTTACCCACTGCCAAGACGGAAGGACATGAACTCCCCTGATTACAGTGTTTCCCCTTTAAAAGTTCTACCCTTCCAGGGCTCTCTGTCACACTTTCTGCACCCACCATGCTCTGGGTGCTGGAAAGGTGTTGGTCCAAACTTAAGTTTGAATGTTACTAAAAACCTTCATGTAATTTGCGTTGGAAACCCGGCTCTGAATTCATTTGGGAACCAGAAACTTGGGCATAACAACCTGACTCACCAGATCCACTTTTAGTATGTTAAGGCTGTACCTCCGTCAGTCATCTGTTCTGGATTTGAGACCTAACAGTATCTGAGTATTGCTGCATGCTGCACTGGATATTGGTATATTTGCCAAAATTTACACACTTTGAGAAATGTGACCCACTTTATCCCAGCAGCTGATAATTGCCAGTAGCTCCTTGGGTGTGGTTGAACTTCCTAAGAAAGTCCACGTTCCATAGTGGCATTTGGTGTGGTTTAGGCATGCACAGGACTTTGGCTTGGTATCACAACCAATCCCAGTTCATATGTGCGGTTGCTAAGCTGTGTCCAGAAGACGCTGCCTTCCTGGTAGACCTTCATCACCTCTGGCTCCTATCCCCCTTCTGCCCCTTCTTCTGAAATGATCCCTAGCTCTTTAAATTAGAGGTGGAGCATATATACTCCATTTAAAGCTGGACACTCTCTCTCCACCTTGGCCTATTGTGGCTTCCACAGTGTAACCCTGCTGGCGTGGAACTCTCTATATAGATTTGGCTGTCTTTGAAGGTACTTAGCTTCATTTGTATTCCACTTGCTGGGATTAAAGGAGTAAGTTAGCACACATGGCTGTAGGTTAGGAAGCTTATACTTTCTTTTCATTGTTGTGTGCTTCTCATATTTTTTTCTGTGTGTAAGAAGTTCCCAAGTCCTTGGATCTTAGTCAGTAGACGCTGGCTACACATGGCTTTATTTATATAACATAAACCAACAAAAGTAGATTCCATAGTAAAAAGAATTCTGGGATAGAACTATTCTAATTATAGATAAATTCTGATGTTCAAACTTGTTCTCATAAACACATCTACAAGCTCATGTCCACTGAGCCATTAGCACCGTAAAAACAAAACAAAGTCAACTGTAGAACCAATCAACAGATGAATGGATAAAAATGATATGATAAGCATATATATTAAATTATGTGTCATTCAAAGCAAGTATTGCCGTTTGTGGTAATATGGCTGAACTCAGAAAATTTATGTTATACTGAATCTGCTGGGCACAGGAAAAACAATATTAACTGATATTGTTTCATATGTGTCATGTGCAAAACTTGGTTTCACAAAGTATAGGTTAGATTTTGGGTCATCAGGGGCTAGGGCAGAGAAAGGTTTTCAGATTCTTTGGTGAAAATATGCAATTTCAGACTTGGAGAGAGTTTGGTGGCTGTAGTGAGTATCTATGTGAACTAGCTTGGTTTAGCCAAATATATATAATTCCATCTAATATAGGTAAATGTTCTAAATAATAATTTAAATAAATACAATGCAGGCCAATAAATCAAAAAAGTATGAAGAAAAAAAAAGTATGAAGAATTCTTAGAACTACCAAGGTCTATAAGATTGATAATTCAGATGAAAGAACCAAATTCCCACAGAGATATTCATCACAAAAATATGGCTTTGCTTTAAATTATTTAAAAATATGATGGAAATACAACACAAACTTTATACCTGTAAGCATAAAGAAGACACCTTTTATCCCAGCAACACAAAGACAGAGGAGGGAAACCTTTCTGAGATCATGGATGATTTACAATGTTAATCCTAAAATTCGCCAGAAAAAACAGTTCCACCATTTTGGCTGAATTTAAGCAAGCTTTTATTAAAAATATTAAATACTGACCAAGGTGAAATATGGCCAGAACCATCACCTGGAAGACTTTCCAGGTGTGTATGGAGACACTTGTTGGCGGAGCTTATAAAGGGCAAAACTCACAGGCCACCATACTTGCCCATAAGGCTTTGGTGTTAGTTTCTAAGAACTGCCACTCCAGAATCCCAGAAGGTTACTTGGTCCATGGGCAGGTGGACCAACAACAGCCACCCTCACTGAGCCCCACCCTTCCTCTCCTAGGAATCAGAGGGAATATGGGTGAAAGTCCCGATTGGACTTTCTGTGGGAGTCACAAGGTCTACTAATTTCAAGTACAGGTGAAGTGACTAGCTTGAAGGTTGGATATGCTTCCCACACGCTCAGCATTGCAACAGGGTGATAACCACCCATGATGCAACAGATCTTCTCCTCAAGGTTCAGCTTTTGTACTGTACTTGATAAACTACAAATGCAACTTCTTCTTGCCATCCATGCTTGCAATGATTCCCCAGCTTTTGAAACTGGTTCAGGAAAGAGTTCGGGGAGGGTCCAGAAAGCCCTACTTTCCTCATCAGGGAGATCACAGCAGCACAGAGAGAAGGAAATGGCTTCCAGGTGTCCTGACTCTCAGATACTGGACCTCCTGCAGTCTTACCTGTAGCATCTCTATGGTTGAACACTGCAACCGCTGCTCCAGATCTGAGATGAGATCTCTCACTGACTCCCTCTGCTTCACCAGCTCATTTTGAGACACTGCCAGGCTGTTCATAGTGTCTTCCTTCTCTTGCACCAGCTTCTCCACCTCATACGTCTCCTTGGAGTCCAGGAATTCCCTCAGTCCTTTAAACTCTTTCTGAACGTTTCCTACCTCACTCTGTATTTGGTTCTTCAGGGATAAGAAAAGAGAGAGTTATTCAGACTGTCCTAATGGGGCTGGAACACAGAAATCCACTGTTCTGATGGGGAGTTCTCACAGGAACTGAGCTTGGGAAGGGAAGGCAGTCTTAGGACAGCATCTGTCTCCTATCAGTGTCTGTTCATGACATTCCAAAACAAAGGTCTTAGGTCACCTTTACCAAGGCCACCTGAGCCAAGGTGGGTATCTGGGTATGCTTCAGCTTTCACACAGCTACTTGCAATATTCCTCATTCTACCTCTTAATCCCTGAAAGAAGCTAACCCCAAGAATAGAACTATAACAGTTCTCATACATCTTCCCAACGGTCACGGTTCCAGAAAACACCACAGGAGCAAGTCATAGGACTCAGTGCCTTCTCACCAGACCCCTGCCATGGTGTCAGCTCCTCACACAGCCAGGCTCAGCTGTGATGCACTCTCTGTGCAGCCCCAGCTCCAAGGGAACAGGCAGAGAAGACTAATCAAGGCCTCTTGTCCCCATCAGCCTCCAGGGAATGAAGAGCCAGGGAGCTTCTTGCCCAGGTCCCTCCCAGGCATCAGGCTAACTCCCTTAGGAGGTAGGGTATCCACTTGCCTCCCAGAAAGTTCTCTCCTTTTGAAGGTCATCTTCCCAGTGGTCACATCTTTCCTCATTAGCCATCTGCATCTCCAGGGCAGACTGGAGCATCACCTGTGGGAGAGGAATTGTAGCAGAGTCAAGCTGTGTGCTTAGTAGGACAGCTGCCCCTAGCCAAAGGCCAAGAAATCCTTCTAGAAAGACAGGAGGTCTAAAACTGTTCTTTTTTTTAAATATCTTGTGCCATGATTTGTGCACATAAAGTGTATAAATTAAGTGTCCAGCTCAATCCATTCTTGCATTTATACACACACAAGTCCCATACAAAGATACAGATATCTCTCTAAGTCAATCATCCCACCAAGTCTAAACCTTTATTTTGTTTCTGGCATTAGAGAACTGGAATAATTGTATTAAGTTTCCTGATCTTTCATAGAAACATATACAAACATCACATGAATTTATTTTTTTGAAATTGGTTCCTCCTATGTAGCCTGGCTGGTCTGGATTTCCTGTGTAGACCAGTATACCCTCAAACTCAGCCCCTGCCTCAGCCCCCAGAGTTCTGGGACCAGTTATGCTCCTCCACACTGCCACATGCACATCTTTCTGACTTTTATTTTCTTTTTAAATTTCATGTGTGTTGGTGTTTGCCTGTATATCTGTGTGAAGGTGGAGGATCCTCTGGATGTGTTAAAACATGTGCACCCTGAGAATTGAACTCAGGTCCTCTGAAAATACAGCCAGTGCCCTTAATTGCTGAGTCATCTCTCCGGGTCTTTGTTTCTTTTCTTTTTAAATTGTTTTTTATTTTTGTAGTTAAGATTATTTTCTCTCACTGAAATGGATTTTTTTCAAACAACATATTATGATTACAGATTCCCCTGCCCCTACTCCTCCCAGTTCCTCTCCATTTCCCCTCCTATTCAGATCCACAACATTTCTGTCTCTTGTTACAAAACAAACAGGCTTCTAAGAAATAATATCAGAATAAAAGAAAATACAATGAGAGAAGTCAAAAAACAAGCACACTGGAATGTGGCAAAACAAAGAAACCAGAAAAAGAGCGAAATAAACAGCACAAGAAATGCATAGAGATGCAGAGACACACAGGTTTCCAACAAACGGGAATCCCATAAAAACCCTAAGTCTTAATATGAATGCAAATTGCTAGTAAAGTAGGGGAAAAATGCCCTGACTTAACATTATAAGAGAAAGAACCTCTAAATATGGATTCCTTTTTCTCTGTGCTGGTCATCTATCTACTGCTGGGCACAGGACCTATCCTTCCTTACAAGTGAGTGGTTTATTTCTCCAGTGAGACTCCCTTGGAGAAAAGTAAGTTTTCATTTACAAGTAGCTATCAATTGGAGATTGCTTCAGGGTTAGGGATGGGTCACGTGCCCACTTCTTCTAGCTCTAGGATCCCATATGGTGCAGACCCTTGCAGGCTCTGTGCATGCTGCAAGAGTCTCCATGAGTTTACATGTGCACTCACAAACAAGCAACAGAAAACAAAGTCCCAACATGGAACTTGCCTCTGTGCATCTCACTAGGGAATTCTTTCCCCTCCTCCCAGATGTTTCAACTGCCACACACACATTCTCTTCACTCCTGCACGTCATTCATTTACTAGCCCCATGGTTGGAAGTAACGGGACTGGAATTTAGGAAGTATGAATGAATCTGACATAAACAACGTAAGAAGATAATTATGAAGTGAATTAGCAGCTGTTTTGTTCTTGGGTTTTTTTTTTTTTCATCATCAACTCAACTTCTTGGAGAAAGTTCCAAAACATTTTTTTTTCCATCTTAATCAACTCCAGGTTGATTCTTATCCATTAAGTGGAATAAATCATCATGTCCTTTTAGGACTCTAAAAGTAGGAAAGGATAGAATGATTCAACAACCCCAGAGTCTGTGATGTCCAGGTAATTGTCCTGTCACACCAAGTAGAGATTTCCCATCTGTTACTGTCTCCTGCTCTGTGTCCCACACCCTCCCACTTCCTACCTTGTACTTACTGGCCACCTCTTCAATGAGAGCTGTTTGGTGACCACGGTGCTCCTGAGATCTCTCACAAAGCCAGCAGATGGCCACCATGTCCTTCTCACAGAAGAGCTGGAGCTTCTCTCCATGTTGTTCACAGACGTTCACCTTTTGCTCCTCCCCTGAGCTTGTCTTGAGCCCTGTTAGCCTCTCCACTATGTTGGCCACATGCCAATTAGGCCTCAGATTCCCAAACAGGTAAGTAACTTGGCACACAGGGCAGATGCCCTCCCCTTTTTTGATTTTGCTGGACTCATAGTTCAGTGTGATGCAGGCTCTGCAGAAGCTGTGACCACAGTCTGCACTCACAGGCTCCACCATGAGGTCCAGACAGATAGGACAGGTCACCTCCTCCTTGATCATCCCCAGGACTGATGAGGTCATTGTTGCTGTGATGCTGAGTCTGTCTGTTCGTACTCCTGACACTTCTGCTCAGGTACCTGTGTAACTGGGATGATGAGAAGGGGGACAAGTGAGAAAGGGAAAATCAGCACTGAACCGTGAAGAGATCAATGAATGCCCTCGATGATAAGGGAAAAGAACAAAGGAGAGAGATTCGGAGAGAAGTTCAGAGACATGGCAAAGGAGCATGCTGTCATCCTTTCAAGTTCTCTGCTATATTTCATCCAAAATGACTAATTTCAGATGCAGGATTGTTATTTGCTTTCACTGAAGACCAGGAAGATCATGTTTCCTTTCATCTGCCTCATGTAACCTTCCGTCCTTCCCTTTCTTTCCCAGGACAAAATCACATTTTTAGTGTTACAAGCATCAAGTCTCCCCTGTTGTTCTTCCTCCTTCATCAGCACCAGTCAGTGTGAGCCTCTGATCCTCTGCTAACCAGTCCCTTACCAGAGACCCTCGTGCTGACTTGGAGTGTACACAGTCCATCTCCTGATTCACATAGGCAATAATTTCTCTTATTGTCATTTAATAAATGACGTGTGTGTTTGCACACATAGTTAAGCTAAGTTCTGCACTTTATGTATACAGATTGCTGTTACGAGGCTCATTTTGTCTTCAATACAGTGAAAGGGGATGAAAACCATCCCTTTGGAGTCTTCTTTCAGAGGTCCCTGTTGTACATCATAGAATTAAAGAAAAGTGATGATAGCCAGGACAGTATTGATAGCCAGAAAATCAGGTGTGTGGAATTATGTCTCCAAGCACTAGCATTTCTGAAGAATCTTCTGTCTATAAATGCTGAGATTTTGACTCAAGAAATTTGCGAGGACATCGATGGGAAACTCCAGGTATGTACTGCAGTAAAATGCTAGAAAACTGAGCTTAAGACCACATAAAAATTGTAGTTCAAGTCAACAGATTTCCCCCTACAATATGTATTATTAGTTCAACAGGCAAAGCCAATGGATAACCCACCCTTCATCAACAAATGAATGATAAGGAACTCTTCCCATCCTGTTCATGAAAGTATTTGATAGCATACACCATTGTTTCAGGAATAAAAATCCTAAAAATTCTTGTATATAGACATAAATTTCCTTAAAGTCATACATGAAAAGCTCCCTGCTAATCACATAAAAATTTAGGGTAATGGAACAACTTTTCTTTAAAATCATGTATAAAACAAGAATGATTATTGCTACCACATCTGTTCAACACAGCTGGGGATGTACCACCCATACAAGAAGACCGAAACAAACAAATAGGCAAGTCATAAAAGGCATATAAAAGGAATTGCTTCACAGGTAAAAATCCTATCAGTAAAGAAGTAATATCCAGTATAGAAAAGTCACAAATAGTGAGGAGCCCAAAAGGAGATTAAGAAGCTGGGCCTGGTGGTACAGGCCTCTCAACCCAGCTTTTTGTGAGGCTGATGACAGGGAATGGCAAGTTCAAGGTAATTGTGGCTTTATAGGAAAACAGTGTTACATTTGAAACATAAGGAATGGGATGGAGGAGGGCTAAGTGGATAAAAGCACTCCCTGACTCCATTGCCACACCCCATATGGCTGCTCACAAGAGCTCCAGTGGATTTGACACCCTCATCTGGCCTTTGAGGGCACTGCATCCTTATGGTGCAGAGATATACATGCAGGCAATCACCCTTGCCCATAAAATAAAAATAAAAGCCAATAAATTTAATAAAGGAAAGAATAAGATCAGTTATATTCATCAGAGTATCAAATTAAAAAATGAATGAATGATTAGGAAAATTAATTATTGCAAGATGAAATATCTGCACATAAAATTATAAGACTATTCAAAGAATCAAAGTTGTTACAATTACATGCTGTAATATTGAGTTGGGAGTGTCACCCCAGCCCCTGGCCGGGGAGTTGCATTGGTCTGGACTCCAACTCCCAGCCTGCCAAGCACTGACCCCTCCCCGGGGGAGGGTCAGGACCACTCTCACAGGGTATTTAGAAAGCTGCATAGAGAAGGAACACTTGGTTTTGGGTTTTGGGTGTGCTCTCCCTCTGTCTACCATCCCCGCCTCCCGCCATGCTCCCAGCCACCCGAGAGTGCTACATTTATTAAATGTGGACATTCTTAATTCGGTCTAATCTGATTTGATTTGAGTTCTTTGTGCCAGCGCAGAGGCCTGTCTTTAGATTTTTCCTAATAGATGGAGTTCCTCCACTAAAAGGGTCTATCTGCGCCCCCCAGGCCCAGGGCCCAGGGTCTGTCCCCGCCTCCCCAGGCCCAGGGCTCAGGGTCTGTCCCACCCCACAGGCCCAGGGCCCAGGGTCGCAGGCTGAAAAGCACCTTCCACCAGGCAAGATTGGCTTCACTCTGTGAGTTCCCCTTTTTACTTAGGCTAGTAGGGTTCCTGCGGTGACCCATTTGCTTTTCGGGCTTTTGCTGAAGTCAAGGGCCCATGCCAAAAGCCTGATCCATGTGACGGAAGCCAGGGACTTTCACTGAGGTGAATATTGCTTGGCCAGGGATGTCTGCCATTCAATTTTCACAGCCCTGTTTTCAGCTCAAGGATTGTCCTGGCAGATGCACTGTGACAGACTTGAGCTCTATGATTAGGCATAGACTTTTAAAATGGATTCCTAAAACCCCTTAGATGGCAGTTTACAAAAACCCTTTTAAATTGAGGCTATCTAAAGCTCTATAACCCGCGGTTTCTAGATGCGCACTCCAGCCCCTCCGCCCTTCTGCCTCTCCTCTGCTGATTCACAGCCTGCAATTTGTCCTGTCTCCCATTTCCGCCTCTCCACAGCTCTTGGGGGCTCTGGCACCATGCCTGGAGGCACGGAAATCTAAATCCGACTCCCTTTCCATGGGCCTTTGGAATGGCGCTCCCCCATCAGTTGCTTGCTATGCCTCCCTGGCTTCTGCTGTCTACCATGGTATCACACTGGGCCCCTCCCCCTCTAGCTGTTTGTTGTTTGTTTTACTCTGGGACTCTCTACAGTGGATCTATTTTTTTCCCCTGTCCTTCCACTTTAAAACCGCATGAATGTTTCATCCTTAGTTTCTGTTCCCTCTTGCAGTGTCTGATAGCCTGATCCTTAATGGGATCACCTCTGTGCTTTTATGGCTTTTGCTGCCTGCCTATGCCAAAATTTTGGGTTGGTCAGCTTACAAAGTACTTTATTTGTCTCTCTGTTAAAATAATATGGTCTGTGTAACTTTATAAATGTTTCTGTGTGCATGTGTGCTCATTTTAAGATTCTTTGACTTATTAAAATATTCTTTTTAACCTTCTTACATTTACTAGCATTAATAAACTGTAATTAACTGGGTAAAATACACACCTAAATTTAGCTTATATGCCCAATTTAAATAACAGGTAATGGTACCTAGTTCTTGGTTGCATTTACAGACCTGAGAGTATGGCATTTATTAAAAGAGCTTCTCACACAGACACGCAGTCCCTGCAGCACCCTATAGCTCCTCTAAGAAGATGCATGGTTATAGAAAGACCTTCTGTGTTCAAGCTTGCCCTTGGCCTTTGGCAAAGCCACTCACACAGCAAAAAGTAGCCTTTCCCCTCTTCAGCTTTTTGGATGCTTCACCTGGGGAATTGTACTCAGCAGCTAATGGAAACACATTGCTTCTAAGACTGGTGTTCTCCAGTGACTAAGGAGAGGATCTGGGATTACCTGCATAGCTTAAAAACTGTCTCATTTCTGCTCATTTACCCCCCTCAGATCTGTCTATGGCATTTGATAATTTAAGGTACTGTTAACTTATTACTTCACCCATGACATTTAATGAAGTTTCCTGCTAAAATACAGACTGGTATGCCTCTTTAACAGGCTTCATAGTCCAGGATTAATAGGTTTCAGGTGTATCTTCAGAGGTTCAGAGTTCCCAATTGCCTCTAATTGTCCTCTAAAATGTTCATACCTTTTAACCTAAAGCAATAGTGTTTTGCTATGACACCAAGATGTAAATCTGTCCCAGTTCTATTATAATACACAGGTTCCAGGAAAAGTTCTACTGCTATATCAAAAATCAGGTCTAGTGAAAAACTAACAGTCTCCAGAGCCTACACTAACCTCAACCAGTTTCAAGCATATTTTATAGGTCATTCCTGCTGCCTGCGCTAAGACCAACCCACAAAGTGCTCCCAGACAATGCCAACACCTGCACCAGCTCCTGGGACTTCACCATTTGTACCAACTCTTCTTGATCAAGGACACCTGCCAACTAAAATCTGGTTTTAACTACTATTGTGTCCCATCGATGGCTAGCCCTATTTCATAGGACCAATAATAACAATATATATCCTAGCTACCTGCCTTCTCATCTCCCTCAAAAAGCAGCTGCCTGAGGACTCCAGGATGACAGCAAACCGGATGCTGTTCTAGCTACTCCTCTCATGGAGCATGAGCATGCCAACTCTCAGTTCTTCCCTCTCTCACGTTGCCCCATGCCTACAGGAAGTAGTCAGACATGAGCCAATGCCCCTTTATCTGAAGAGAGCCTAAAATATTGGTCATAAATATCACCTCAGCTCCTTGTCACACCCCTATATCCAAAGAGTCTGGAATGTAATATTAAGTTGGGAGCATCACCTCAGCCCCTGGCCTGGGAGTTATGTTGGTCTGGACTCCAACTCCCAGCCCAAAAAGTGCTGACCCCTCCCTGGGGGAGGGTCAGGATCACTCCCACAGGGTATTTAGGCAACTGCCCAGAGAAGGAACATGTGGTTTTGGGTTTTGTGTGTGTTCTCCCTCCCCCTCCCACCTGAGAGTGCTACATTTATTTAACGTGGGCATTTTTAATTTGGTCTAATCTGGTTTGATTTGAGTTCTTTGCATCAGCGGAGAGGCCCATCTTAAGATTTTTCCTAACACATGTAAGAACACCTGTATTCATGGATTTGAATACTGTTAAAATGTCAGTACTAGGGGCTAGCCAGATGGTTCATGGGTTTAGAGAACTGGTTGCTCTTCCAGAAGACTTTGTTTCTGTTCTCAGCACCCACAAGATGTTTCACCACTGTCTATATCTCCAATTCCAGCATAACTGACACCCTCTTCTGGTACCTGTGGGCACCAAGCATTGAAGTGGTGTACAGACCTATATCCAGGTCACCCATAAGCATAAAATTGCATTAAAATAACACAAATAAATGCATTAATAAAATGCCCACACCCCCTAGGGCTCTGTGGTTATGAGTGCTTACCATGCTTTTAGTCCTCGTTACTGTGACTGCTGCTGTGAGGAACGTGACCAAAGCAACTCGGGGAGGAAAGTGTCCCATGTCACCGTTCATCACGGAAGGAATTCAGGACAGGAACTTAAGCAGAGCATGAACCAGAGGCTGGAGCTGATACAGAAGCCATAGGGAGGGGTTGAAAACTGATTTGCTTCTCATTGCCAGCTCAGTCTGCTTTCTTGTGGAACCCAAGACCATCAGTCCAAAGATGGTACCACCTACAACGAGATGGGCTTTCTCCCATCAATTGCTAATTAAGAAAATCTTCACAGACTTGGGTACTTGCTGATTTTATGGAGGAATTTTCTCATTTAGGGTCCTTCCTGTCTGATGGCTATGCTTTGTGTCAAGACGACAGAAAACAAAGCTGGACACATGATATGAACCACAAGTGTCATACAGTGAATGCACAGATGACAGATTCATAGACAACCCACAAGTGTACAACGCATGGGGAACCCGACTTGCAAAGCTTCGGGAATACTTGTCATTTGGACAGACACTGTCGATTCTGTACAAATCTTGTGAAATCATGACATTTCTCCCTTCCATAATGGGATTCACCCCAGAATATCCCAGCAGTGTATAAATCATTCTTTAAATCTGACTTTTTGTATACTGGCAACTGTATGCCTTTCCCCACACTATGGGGCCCTGGTGTGAAAACATTCACTCAGCCAAACTTTTGTTCTAATGGTCAGATCTACATAAAGCTGGACAGGACTTACTGAAAAGAAAGGAGCCCTGAGCAGGAGGCACTGAGCAGAGAGACAATGTCTGCTCTTACTGATAAACAGGTATGGGTAGCCCTGAATACTCTTAACAGCAGACTCAGGAAGGTATAATCTCCTGGCCTTTGCTCTTACTCTAAGAAGTTATTAATATTCTGTACTTAAGTTCGCCTTTCATTTGACACTAAAGTCTTAATCTAGGAAATTAACTGTTTGTACCTTTATTCCTAATACAGGAAAAAAGCTTGGGTTGCTAAATTGTAGTATTATGAGCAGCGGGGCTGCGTCCCCAACACCCTGGCCGCCTGCTAGCTTATGCCCCGAAATAATTACACGGAAACTGTATTCTTTTAAACACTGCTTGGCCCATTTCTATCTAGCCTCTTCTAGGCTAATTCTCACATATTAATTTAGCCCATTTCTAACCATCTGTGTTGCACCCCACGGTGCGCTTACCGGGAAGATTCTAGCCTACGTCCATCCTGGGTCGGAGCTTCATCGAGGAGCATGGCGTCTCTCTGAGGCATCTGCTCCCGAGAGGAGAGCTGTTGAGTCTGAGCTCACTTCCTCTTCCTCCCAGCATTCTGTTCTGTTTACTCCTCCCACCTATGTTTTAACCTATGAGGGCCAAGCAGTTTCTTTTTATTGCTTAACCAATGAAATCAACAGATTGATATATGACACTCCCACATCACTAAATAGCCCCAGAGAAAGAAATTCCTTCTCACCTGGGTGCCAGCAGATACAGCACCCTGATGCTTAGCCCAGGAGGCCAACCTGCATCCTAATCCTCCTGGTATATGCTCTGGTGGGAAGCTTCACGGTCATGCTCCTTCTGATACACAGGACACCTACCTTGCCAGTCTTTTATCCATCTTGTTAGTCCTAAGAAATGCATACTTGACATCATTGATATTTACCATAAAATTATTAACTGTCTGTGTGGGCATAGAGACTTTGTAGGATGGGCAGAACAGTGAGGAACATTGAAGGGGAACATTAAGAGAGCATTGAAGAGAGCATAGGAAGAATAAATGGGACATGGTAAAAAGACTTATCTGAGCTAATTTGTTTCATTTACCCTTAGACCTTCTTAGGTTTTCACCTGCCATAGCGATCCTTCTGAATCCTGAGAGTCTTAGTGGGGCTTAACCCCAACAAAAACCTGATAGACACTGAGGATCCAAGTTCAGGTCCTGCCACCAGTAAGGCAGTTCACAACTCTCTGTAACTCCATCTTCAGCAGACACACAAATATCCAGTTTATAACAAATTTAATCTTTTTTAAAAGCTATACTAAGGAATAATAGCTAGGTTTGTTCAATTCAAACAACAAGAGAGAACTTGTTTCTTTTGAGTTCGGAGTAAAACTGATTCTTTAAGAATGATGCAACTGCTGCATGGTGGTGGTGCATGCCTTTAATCCCAGTACTGGGGAGGCAGAGGCAGGTGGATCTCTGAGTTCGAGGCCAGTCTGGTCTACAGAGCAAGTGCCAGGACAGCTAGGAATATTACACAGAGAAATTCTGTCTCAAAAAAAAAAAGAAAAAAAAAAGATGAATGTCAAAGTATTGATTGTTAGAAAACTAAGAACCACTCACATTCATAAACCAGGTGCTCCCCCAGCAGCCTTCAGGGACTCATTGCCAGGGAATGCACCAAGGCCAGGGAACGCGCCATCGCCAGGGAACGCGCCACCGTCAGTGAATGCGCCATCGCCAGGGAACATGCCATCGCCAGTGAACGCGCCATCGCCAGGGAACGCGCCATCGCCAGGGAACGCGCCATGGCCAGTGAACGCGCCAGCGCCAATGAACGCACCACGGCCAGTGAACGCACCAGCGCCAGTGAACGCGCCATCGCCAGTGAACGCGCCATCGCCAGTGAACGCGCCATCGCCAGTGAACGCGCCATCGCCAGTGAACGCGCCATCGCCAGGGACCGTGCCATCGCCAGTGAACGCGCCATCGCCAGTGAACGCGCCATCGCCAGGGACCGTGCCATCGCCAGGGAACGCGCCAGCGCCAGTGAACGCGCCATCGCCAGGGAACGCGCCATCGCCAGGGAACGCGCCATCGCCAGTTGCCAAATGCGACACATTTCTATTGTTGACACCAGTCACATGCCCCTTACAAAGCCCTCTCCTTCACTGCTTGCTGTCCTCTTTTCCATCTCAGAGGCAGCCATTTGCACCCCAAACCCAATAAATCTCTTGTGCAAGGTCCCTTAGGTGGTGTGACCATTGTAGCATTGCTGGCACTCTGATCAGCACAAAAACCCTAACAATGATGTCACAGGAGAAATGCTCCTTTTCCAAATAAGCTGGGCAAATAATTGTCCCAGGCTTCCTTTACTAAGTAATATCTGGGACGACTTAATGTGCCCTTCTTAGATATTGGCAAATTTAAAAACTGGAAGACCCAAATAAGTGCAGTGCAGTATCTCATAGCATATGACAGTGTAGAGGGTTGATGCCGAAGGGCAGAAGAGAGGGGGTCCACAACTGATGAAGAGCAGGGGAGAGCAAAGGGAAAGAGGATGGGCTCATGACAGTCCTCCAAGTCAACCTGGACACAGGAGACCTGGCCCCTGTCCTCTGGTGTCTACATTATTAGCCTGGGTGGAGCTGGGATTACCCGCTCCCTGTCCTTTCGCGGCTCTCAAGCTCTTCCTATCAGCAGACATCTTTCAGTCTTTATAGCATTAAAATCAGTCAGGAGCTTGTGCTGTTCTTTGAAAGATAGAAAAGACCTGGGGCTGCAGTGTTCACCTGTAACCCCAAGGCCTTGGGAGGGTGGCACAGGGCAGTTCCTTGATGTTAGCCTGGGCTGTATAAAGGTATCATGTCCCAAAGAAACAGAAAAGCTGAGACTTCTAGAAAGTGTGCCCTCCCAGTGTTCTCACTTTCTTACTCTGTCTCCTTCCTTGGAATTGAATCCTGGGCCTAGAGCAAACTTAAAAGTTCCAGCCCAACCCGTTAAGTGCAGCCTAATAAACTGCATCTTCTCGATGTTTTCCCTTTTTTCTTCAGACATGAACTCATTAGGTCCCCAGCAGATCTTAGACTTTGGACCTTACTGCATCAGTTTTCTGTGTTGCTGGAATTACTAGTGTGGGTTGAATTTCATTTAGGCACGCCAGACATGGATCATGGGAAAGGCAGGTAAATGTAATGACTTTTAAGTAACATTAGCAGACTTGAGGCTGTTTCATAGTACAAGTAAATGTATAAGAGGCCACAGAAAGATTGCGATTCTAATTGCAGAAACAGAAGCAAAGGGAATAAACCCATAGAACCATAGGTAAATACACTGTTACACAGAGACTTTGGGACACCACTGCGGCTTTCCTACAACAGTTGGGGTTGGGGAAAACACATATGGACAGCATGTCTGTCTGGCGACAGGGGATTCTTACTGCAGCCCATAATTAAAGATTGGGAGAGAAGAGAGTGAACTCATCTGGAGAAATACCTGGATCTCTCTGGATCTTGAAACTGGTCTTTCACAAGGACACTCCCTAATGTGGTTCCTCAACCCCCTGAGCACTCAGCAGGAAGCCAACAGCCCCTCTTTCCCAGCTCCTTCTCAGTTTTAAATTGTACTCACCAGAACAAAGAGTGTTTTCTTTAAAGTTCCTCCAAATTCTTCCCTCTAGATTTGGTCTCACACCTTCAGACACCGATCATGAGTTCCTGAATCTGTGGAGAGGAGCCAATGGAGGCCAGAGTAAATGCCCTGAGGGTTCCGGCACTATGTCTGATCTCTGGTGAGCCAGCAGAGAAAGGAAAGTTAAGGTGTTGAGGACTGGAACTGCGAAAGAGAAACTACAGACCCATCAACCAATGGCGTGCCACCACGTAAGTATCTGAGTTTCTATAACTAGAGGTAGCCATAGGTCAGCTCTGCCTCCCTGGAGCTTGGGACATCTCTCAGTGCTACAGAATTTGTCATTTCACTTGTTCAGGCTCATGTCACAATCACCCTGAAATATCCTGACCCTCTGGAAAGCTTCTCCCGCTGGAAAGAAAGCCTTCGCCATGGGCTCCTCTTGCACCTGAGCTCCTGGCTGGGTTTTGCTTTGCAAGGCAGGTGTGGCCCTAAGAACAGGAAAGACAAGGTGAGGGACAGAGAACTGCAGTGTTCTCTGGGGCTGGACTTGGGCACTTACAGGATGAGAACAGGGAGGGAGCTGCAGTTCAGGGCAGCTGCTCACAATCAAGATTCCCACCCAGCAGGGACAGGGTGGGAGGAGCCCCATGCAGAGCCCTGCAGAGACACTTCCCACACTCACAGCAGGGAAACTAGCAAGCTGCAGGGGCTCTCCAGCTGCCCAGGGGTGCCCTGCAGATTAGGTGTTCTGTTGCTGCCCAGAGCAGGGCCTCTGCCCAGTGCTGATCTGATACATTCATTACATCCCTTCCAGGAATCCCTCCCCAGAATGTCTCTGCAGGCACTATTTGAGTTAGAATTTCTATTACAGACCTCTGCTGTTGGGTCAGTATCCCCTGAACTGGAAGCTGAAATGTATAGGGTGGGAATGAGGTTGAGTTGGCACCATCCATACCTAGGAGCTCTGTGGTTGATTCTCAGCACTGAACAACACCAGTTGTGGTGGCATATGTATGTAGTCAGCTCAGTTACGTTTATTGCTCTGTGTCTTAGTACCAGTTTTTATTGCTGTGAAGACAGACAATGACCAAATGAACTCTTTTTTTTAATTATTTTTTTTTTAAATTTTACATGCTAGCTCCATTTCCCCCTCTCTCCTCACCTCTCCCCATCTCCCCACTTTTCCCATCCAATGTCCTATCCCGTCTTCAGAGGAGGCAAGGCCTCCCTTGGGGAGTCAACAAAGTCTGATTTTCCAAGTTGAGACAGAACCAAGCCCCTCCTCTCTGTATCAAGGCTGAACAAGGTATCCCATCAAAGGGAATGGGCTCCAAGAAGCCAGTTCTTGCACCCAGCATAAGTTCTGGTCCCACTGTCAGGGCCTGGAGAGAGAGAGAGAGAGAGAGAGAGAGAGAGAGAGAGAGAGAGAATCTGATCAAATGTCTAGTTTCCCACTAGCTCAGAAATGTTGGGGAAGGACTGGAATTTAAAATAATAAAATACATGGACAGCCATCTAGCCCAGAATGAAATTATCTGCAGACAAAGTTCAAGTCCCGTTTGGTCCTTCTGGACTTCCATCAGCCTCCAACCCCAGGGAAAAGGTTAAAGATGACCAGGTGAGCATAGCACTGGCCACGCTGCTGAGCAATGCCACAATGTGTGTGAGTCGAACTGTGTACACACTGACATTTATTTCAACACAGAAAAGGCTTTCCCATGAAACAATTATGGAAGAAATATTAAGCAAAAGGAACACTTGAGACCTATGAAGTTACTTATTTTTTTATTAAACATAAAGTTAGATTTATAATTTGTTTAAAAAAAATCTGTGACTTTATAATCTATTTATTCTCCTTCTTAAAACAACGCATGGTGCCCACGGAATGAAAATCAGGACGTGACTGCTCCAAGGTAAGGTTGAGGAGAGGATTTTATTGCAGATACGAGGGAACCTGTAGGAAAATCCAGAGCAGGGAGGGAAAATAGTGGACCGAACCTGGCCAGCACATGGAACTGAGCCCTGAGAGGAGAAAGCAGAGGTGGTGGTGGGAGAGCAAGAGAGGCAGAGAAGACAGAGAGAAGAGAAGAGAGAGTAAGTGGGCCAAGAGAGCCCATGGCTGAAATGTCAGGGTTAGATAGGGAAGAGAGCTGGGGGAAGGGAAGGGAAGCCCCTAGACTGGAGTGGTTGAGGGTGTGGTGGGGAATGGCAGTCAGGATGACTCTGTAGCAGGTACTTGCTGAGGGCCTAATAATGACCTTTGCTTGGCATGGTGATAGGCACAGTAGTCATCTATCAATGGAAGAGACATGTGTTCTTTGTCAGAGGTTAGGAGAATGACTCAATTCAGGGCACAGGGACTGTTTTCAAGTCCCTGAGGGATTTCAGACTTTTGTATGAATAACAGACTTTGAGAACAGGAATATCTTGGGACCTGACACTCACCCCACCCCTTTATTTCAGCCAACAACAGCAGAGGCACCCTTGTCCTGGAAAACCACCGAACATGCTAGTCTGGGAATCAGGAAGGCCCTCTTCACTTTCCTTCCTGTCCCCCAATTCCCATTCCTCAGTCTTAACCACCTGCTGGTCAGTCCTTCCTCTCTGTCCTCATTCCCCAAGGGCTCCCCATACCCTCCAGTACAGCATAAATAATAAAAACCCAGAGACAGATATTGGGGTTCAACCTGAAGATCAGAGAAGCAAAATAGCCAAGCCACTAGAGAGCTCTTACCTCTGAAATCTTCAGACTGAAAGAGAGTGAGTTCCTGTCTCACCCCACCTTATACTCCTCTCTAGTGCTTGGATTAAAGGTGTGCACCACCACCGACCAACTTTTATGGCTAGCTAGTGAGGCTGCTGGGATTAAAGGTGTGTGCTGCCACTGCCTGGCCTGTATGGCTGGCCAGTGTGGCTGTTTTGCGTTCTGTTTTTGTCTCCAGACAAGCTTTACTTATTAAAATACAAATAAAATATCACTACCATCCAAGGCCCAGCCTTCTCCCCTTTATCTTTGTGTCAGCTGCCAATACCCAGAGTCACTCCCTATCTGGCAACCAGCTGGCCAAGCAGACTGAGCACTGGGTAAACAATCCTCAGTCTTCTTTCTGTTCCCCATTTCCTGTTCCTCAGTCTCATCCCTGCCTTATAGCAGCTTATCTTCCCTCTCTGCCATCACTCCCTGGGGACTCAGAAGATCCTTGTGGCAAACCCAGCCTTCCTCCCTCCAGTAGATCCTCCCAACTGTCCCCCCACCTTACCCTCACCCTCATCCCCACCCCCACCTCTAGCCTATCCCCATTCCTTCTTGCCAGCTCTAAGTATCTAGAAACAAGCTGTGCCTGGGACCCCTAGTCACCACTCCTGGGAGAGACCAAGAAGCACCCCCTATCAGGGAACCCTCACCCACCACATTCTCCTAAGCTAATGAGAGGGCATCAGAAACCAAGGAACAAAACACCCACCCAACAAAGACAAGACCATATATCAGCACCTAGAATTGCAACCATCCCAAACACAGACACTATCACAGAAACACAATCTATCTCCACATAACCCAGCAACCGTATTGCAGCAGGCCCTCAGAAATGTAGTATAGCTGTAGCACAAGACAAGGGCTTCACATTGCTGTTGTGAATATGATCAAGGACCTTACTTGTACATGCAGGGAAAAGCAGTTGTGCACATAAAAACAGAAAATAAAGAGACAAAATTTTGGATAATGAGGATGCCACTACTTATCAAAATAAAAATTTCTGTGGGGTTTTAACTTCTTTAAATTTATTTTCATTTTAATTTTTAGCCTGTGTATATGTCTTGGGATGTCAGATCTCTGGAACTGGAGCTAATAGCTCTTGTGAGCTGCCATGTGGAGGCTGGGAATTGAACCCATGTCCTCTAGAAGAGTCACCAGCGCTCTTAACCACTGAGCCATCTCTCCAGCTGTTATTCTTTTGGGGATAGAAAGACCACACATGCACAGAGGATTGCCGGACTACAATTCCCAGAAGCAGTCAGCGTGCGACAAGAAGACTGCGCATGCGCAGAGGATACAGCAGAGGATACAGCTTCCCACCGGACTACAATTCCCAATTTGACAAAAAACCACGCATGTGCAGGGCATATTTCCCAGACACACCAGGCTCCCCCTTAAAAACGGAGAACGCCATGACTCGCGCCCCTTTTTTCTCTTCACCCCCGTCCCTCACCTGTCGTCACCCCCCCATTAAAGTTTACCAACGTGGGACCGCCATGCGCCTCGTGTTTCCTTTCCAACCCCACGGAAAAAACAACACCAGCCCCACAATTTCTTTTTAGTAAGCGAAATAAAACAATAAAATTTGCCTTTCAGGTTTAATTTTTAGAGTATTTGTGGTATCTCTACTCTTTCCTATCACGTAAACTGTAACACAGACTGATGTGCACTGCGATACCTGGAGACTCTGCAGGGATGGCTCAGGGACTCCCTAACAGTGGTGCTTGGGTGGGGTCGCCAATAGCTGGAAAGCTACTTCCTAGTTGTAGAGGAAGTGCTTTCAATGGTAGGCTATTGCACACAGCGTTTGCTATCATACAGTGTCAGGAGCCATTTCAGAATTCTCCTTTCTCACAGGGCCTTGAAGTAAAAACCTTGAGACAAAAAACTTAAAGTTAACTGAAACAGTGTGTGCTAATCTTAGAGACTCAAGGTCCGAAAAAGCACCATAGAGTGCCCTCATTATTCCTTGCTTACCGCTAACAACAGGTGTTCTAGCCACTGACCTTGCAACTACTCCACTTAGCTGCCAAGCTGCCAGTCCCTCCTTCCCTTCCCCCTTCCCCCTTCTTCCTTTCCCCTTTCCCAATTCCCCCTGCCCGAGTTCCTCACTGAGGAGTATATAAGACAAAAAGCTTGCTTCAATAAACAAAGACCTTGACAAATTGAGAACAGAATCCTGTTTGGCTTGCTTGGTCTTCTTCCTCTTTCTCGCCCATGTTCTTTCAGGTAGTGCCCCTTCAGACCCTGGAGTAACTGGACCTGCTGGGCGGGTTACAATACAGCCTTCATGGCACTGAGGCATGTTCCTTCTAGTCCTAGTTTCTTCAACACTTTATTTTCTTCAAAAAAGGTGTTATACTTTTTTCGAAGGTCCCTTTCCACATCAGTGGAGGCTCACATAGTTTTGGTTCTCTTGTCTTTTGGATTTTGTAGAAATTCTGCAGAAATCTTGTGAAATGGTGATATTTCTCCCTTCCATAATGGGATTCACCCCAGACTATCCCAGCGGTGTATAAATCACTCTTTAAAACTGACTTTTCGTGTACTGGGAACTGTATGCCTTCTCTGACACCATGGGGACCTGGAGTGAGAGCATTCACTCTCTCAAGCCTTTGTTCAAATAGTAAAGTCTACATAAAGCTA